ACGCGCAGCTTATATAGCCTCCCCGAGGCCTGCTGCACATTGAGAGGTTCGCTCCCTCTCCGCCCCTCTCTGCCCTCCTCGCCGCATAAACAAAAAGGCTGCGCGTGAAGGCGAAACGGACTGACCCCGGGTGTGAACGCGTGCAGCTCCCAAATGGCTCGGGAAGGGGTTTGTCGAGCGAGTGTTAATCGCTCTTCACACATGGCTGCGGAGAGAAAAACAACATTCGCCCGAGCAGCCAATTTCCAAGTGAAAAGATTAGGAGGGGATAAAATTAAGTGATTCTACACGTTTTGTGTATTTCTGCAAATGGGCCAAGTGGCTGGTAATTAATGCTTGACTCGCCCAAGTCTCAGGGCTTTTTGGCCTTTGGCACATGAAACTGGTTCTGCACCCCGTATTGTAAAAATGGAATGCGAATAAATGAAAAGGAATGCCCTTAACTTCTCTTTCCGGCATAATACAAGATGGGTGAACGAATGGACTCCTTATAAAAAAAAAAAAATCTGTGTTCATACAGATTGAAGATAATACAAAATCCAGAAGAGATAAATTGTACAACCTTGAATGCTCTAGCCAAGAAGGCCAGAAATTGGAGTCGTGATTTTCCCCAACATATTATTAGTCCCCTGAAGATAAGTCTTGAGTTTTATATATAGAATTCTTGGCAGTTTGTCACTCAATGATAATTAGAACATTATTTTGTGGGGGCAGAGTATGTATAGAAAGATGATATCTTGAAAAGTTATGATATGGGGCAAGTTAGTCAACTTCTCTGTGACCCATTTCTCTTGTTTACCCCTCACTACAGAGGTCCCTTAAATGTGATAAATAAGAGTTGTGCTTCAAAGGAAAGATTATATATAAATGCCATATTTTTTCAAAATGTTTTAAATATTAGAGCTGACTTCCCCTTAAAAGTTGTAGATAAAAAATACACTTTGAATGTAAGTATAGTGTCTCTGCTATTCATTCAGTTACTCATAGGAAAAGAATCCATTGGATTAATATCTAAGGCCTATTAGGAAGGTGAGATACGGTTTGCTTCATATAATGAAATCTGTAATGATAGGTACTTAATGTCTGTCTCAATGCCCTAGAACAGTGATTTTCAACCTTTTTCATCTCATGGCACACATAAACTACTAAAATTTTATGGCACACTAATAAATATTTTTTTTTGCCAATCTAACAAAAAAATAGGTTTAATTTTGATTCATTCACACCAGATAGCTATTGTTGTGTTGGCTGTTGTCTTTTTTTTTTTTCAATTTGACAATCTAAAGATAAAGAGGTCAGTGCCTGTTTAGTCAGGGTCACTGACCTCTTTATCTTGCACTCTATTAACAGATAAAAAACATCAAATCATCTGACCTGACTTTCCTCCTATATTCTCTGTTGCCTTATCTTTGAGCCATCACCATCTCTACCCACTTCACCAGGCCAGAAAACCTGGGGGTATATGTAATCTTCACTTTCATGTCCATCCACATTTTATGATTTGACTAGTTCTGTAGATTTTATTCCCTAAGTATCCTTCAAATATATTCATTCTTTTTTATTATTGCGGCACACCAGTGTGCCATGGCACATGGGTTGAAAATCATGGCCCTGGAATTATTGCCCTGGAATTATAGAATACTTACTATGGTGCCTAACACATAGTAAACTCTCAACAAATTTTAAGCTATTTAATAAAATATAGGCCTTTACCAAATGTTGAGCTATTTGATCAAATGGCCTATTGTTTCAGTTCTGTAAACATCTTTTGAGGAACCTGTAATATGCTAAGTACTGTGCTTTCCAGATATAATGGTGAATAAGATAGTTCCCCTCTCTGTAAGAGGATATGGTCCTCACTATCTATGGTCATCACAATAGCCACATAAGCAAAAGTTTTTTAAAAGTGCCATATTAAGGAACAAAAGCACATTTTACTCAGAGAAGTGGCACAAGGGAGGAAATACTGTAGCTATGTCTGTTTGGGACAACCACAAAAGCCTTCTTAGAGTAAATGGCACGTAAGTTGCAATTTCTAGAAGTTGCAATTTCAGCCAAAAAATAGTACAGTGTGTGTGTGTGTGTGTGTGTGTGTGCGCGCGTGCAGGGAGGGAGGAGAAGGAACAGTGGTTCTAGGGCTAGGTATGGCTAGAGCAGAGATGTGGCTGAGGAGATAGAAAGGACTTGGACTATTAAGAGCCTAGTATGCCATGCCAAAGCATTTCAGTTTGATTCTGTAAGTGCTGGTGAAGATTTTAAGCAGGAGAGTGGAATGGTCAAATTTTGCATTGTATGAAAATCACTCTGGCAGCCCTATGGAAGATGGACTTAAGGAAGGCTGATAATAGAGAGAAGGAGATAATTTACAAAGTCAGTGCAAGATTTCAGGCAACAGATGAGAAGATAGATATTAAAGATAGACTGTACATGAAAGAACATATTTGAGCCCTATCCGGTTTGGCTCATTGGATAAAGTGTCAGCCCTCAGACTGAAGGGTCCTGGGTTCAATTCTGATCAAGGGCATGTTCCTCCATTGCAGGCTGATCCCCAGCCCTGGTTGGGGTGCAGGGGGAGGCAACCAATCGATGTGTCTCTCTTACATTGATGTTTCTCTCTGTGTGTCTCTCCCCCTCCCTTCCACTCTTTCTCTACAAATCAGTGGGAAAATATCCTCAGGTGAGGATTTAAAAAAAGAATGACTATATTTGAAGGATACTTAGGGAAAAAAATCTACAGAACTAGCCAAATCATAAAATGTGGATGGACATGAAAGTGAAGATTACATATGCCCCCAGGTTTTCTGGCCTGGTGAAGTGGGTAGAGATGGTTATGGTTCAAAGATAAGGCAACAGAGAATACAGGAGCAAAGTCAGGTCAGATGATTTGATGTTTTTTTTTTATCTGTTAACTAGAGGCCCAGAGCACAAAATCGTGCGCAGATAGGGTCCCTAGGCCTAGCCTGCGATCAGGGCCATCTTCCTCCTGCTCGCCAGTCCCCAGTCCTGCCCCACCACCACCCACCCCAGTTCCCCATGGTTCCCCATTTGCCATCCTGCGATTGGAGCCTGCGGGCCAGGGGGAGGGACCAAGAGGTGGTCAATGCATCTCATAGTGACTGGTCGAACGGTCATTTGGGTCATTATACCATTACGGTCGCTGGGCTTTTATTATATAGGATAGAGTGCAAGCAAAAAATTGATGAATTTGGTTTTGGATCTTGAATCAGTCAGCTCAGGCTGGGCCATATGGCAATAATAAAGAACTCCAAAATCTCACAGGCTTAACTTAATAGAGGTTTATTTCTCACTCATGCTATATGTCCAGTTTTGGTTGGTGGGAGATCTGCACATCACCTTCACATAAGGGTACAAGCTAATGGAGCCTCTTTCCTCTGCAGTGGTGCCACTTGCCATAACAGGAAGATGGGAATAAAATTATGTGGATGCCAGTTTTTAAAGGCTTCCGCCTAGAAATGACACACATCACCTCCAATATTTTTCACTGGCCAAAACAAGTCATCTCACACCTAATTTCAAAGGAGCAGGTATACATTTCCACCATTTAACCAGAAAGAAGGGGCACAGAAATAAACAGCATTATCAGAGTCCCATAATCTGCCCCTCTGGCTACCAAGTATTTAGTTAACTTTCCTTCTTGAATGTAAAATACTAAAAAGAAAGGAACCCAGAAGTGATCTAATAGATTTTAGAAAGCTTGGTAACACGTAGGTGGAGAAGGTACCCAGGGGACAACCAGAAACATAAGATCTAGAGGTCAGCAGGGAGTTTAGGGCTAAAGATTTACATGTGGGAATCATAATAGACTAGGTGGTAACTAAAACTGTAGGAATTGATTGGTTTTCCCAGAGAAATTTTGTAGCTTGAAAACAGAACCAAGTAGAGAGCTCTGGAGAGCGACATTTAATTGTAAACTGAGAAAGTATGCAAAATAAGTCAATAAAATAAATAAATAAATAAATAAATAAATAAAACAACTACGATCTCACTGAAAAGGAATGATGAAGGTGGTAGAAGGTACATTTGTGGAGCAGGTGTGGTGGAAACCTGAAATGAAAGAATTCCAACAAGGAAGGAAAGGTCCAAGACATTAAGTGCCACCAAGGGGTCAACAAGATAAGGATATGTGTTAATTGAATTTGGCA